CTGCTATATATAGCATTTCTTCACCTGTCTTTGCAGAGGGGCACTTCTTTAACCATGGAGTAAAATTCAAGGCAGGAGAAAATGAGGGCAAATATTGTATGTTGTTGAAGTCATAAGGAGGCAGAATTTTTACCAGAGTGTTCTAGACTAATTCCTTGATGACTGTGCAAGGTGCAACAAAATATAAACCCTGGTGTCTCATGTTTATATACAATGATTGTGTCATCAGATTTTTTGTTTATCTCTTAAACTGAAAATAGAGAGTAAATTTGAATGAAGTGTTTACTTTGCATTTTATGAATTTATTAGAAGACATATATCAGTTCTTTGCTAGCAGTGTTTTGATTAAGATGAAGCTTGGCATACCTTTATTCCATTATTTTGCTATCTTTGTTTTTATGAATGATGAGAGTTAACACAGCACACATTAATATGAAATAACATCTCAGTCCCTAGACTGAACTATTTAGAAGAGCTATCACACCTTTGGAGTCAGTGCCTTGGAATGGCCTTGAAATTTCTCTCAGAGGATGCATTCTTACAACCTGGTTTGCACCAGCACAGCTGATAGAAGTTTTGTTATCAAAGCTGAAGTTGGAAGGCAACAGTTTTGGGTGTCAGGAGAGCTTTCTAAGAAGCTATGGAATGAATTATTGTGTAAATCCCAGTCCCTTATCTTTCCTTGCTTCCTTAATCATTGTTCATTTTAACATGGGTATAGGCAGAGGATTCCTGGAAATCTTAGTGCTTCAAAAGTAACTGGCCAATACAAAGGGTCATATAAGTGCTGGTGAAACTAGTTTGACAGATCTGATGGCTTTCACAAGCCATTGTATGGAGCTTTCATGGTAGCTGTTTTTTTGCCTCTGCTGAGAGACAGTAACAGGCAGTACAGAGGGTATTTTAAGCTGCTGCAGCTTTTATCATCCTGCCTAAAGCTACAGTGCTTGAGGCCTGTCTTGAGTTCGTGCTGGCACAGTCTTGTCCCTGTTCTTTGTCGTATTTTTTGTTCTGCCCCTAGTGTTTGTCAGAAACAAACCCTCTTTCTCTGCTTTTTCCTTTTTGTTTTTGTTTTCATCCATTTACAATGACAATTTTTTAGATGGGAGGGGAGGAATCTGCATACACCTGTACTGATGTAGACCAACCATATCACAGTTGCTATCACATATCACAAAGCTCACTGCTTCCCAAGTGGGCATTTTTGCAAGTGCAGGCTAGCCTGATTAAACTCTCTGCACCTAGTTGTTCTGCACCTTCACTCTTAAATTTTGCCTATAGTCAACTGGGGTGAATGTAAAAGTCTTTCTTAGTGGTATGACTGATTTTTCCTCCTAGATACAAAGGTATGTGAATGGAGCACTGTACAGCATTCTTGCTATCCCTTCTGTCCGGGAAGAAGCCAGAGCAATGGTAAGAAATGCTGCTTTGCATAGAATCTTAGAATGGTTTGGGTTGGAAGGGACCTTAAGGATCATCTAGTTTCAATCCCCTTGCATGGGCAGGGACGCCTCCCACTAGATCAGGTTGCTCAGAGCCCCATCCAACCTGGCTATGAACTCTTCTAGGGATGAGGCTTCCACAGCTTCCCTGGACAGCCTCTTCCAGTGTCTCACCACCCTCACACTAAAGAACTTCTTAGTGTCTTAATGGATTACATTAACACATTAATGTAATCCATTACCCCTTGTCCTCATCCCAGAAGTGGTGCCCCAGCATTGTGAAGAATTCTATTGAAATTATAAATTAAGGGTGTTATTTTAGAACAGTGTTGTCCATCTAGCATTTCCTACACTGGAGGTGGCCTAGGAGATGCTTTCACCTGAATTGCTGCTTCTTCCCCTTATTTAACTCATTCTACAAATAGCCACTAAGAGGATAAGTTCCTGTTGCTGCTTTTGTTTCTGCCTGGTAGAGACATGATGAGCAGAGGAAGGTAGCAGGAGGAAGGTTTTAGCAGATCTAGGAACTGATCTGTGTAAGTTAGACTCATGATAACACTTGTTTTGACTTCTGGATTGCAGAAAGCCATACCTGGGATAGCAGTGTATCCCTGTATCTTGAGGTTTAACCTAGTGAGTTGTGCAGACATAGTTGTTGTCAGATGTTTTACCTCACAAAGCACAGAGCACTGGAAGTCATCCTACACGATTAAAGACACAACATCAAGCCTGTGAGGGGCCACAGAGAAACTGCATTTAGGAGAAGGTCAAAGCTGGTCCTGCTTTTTGCTTTCCTTTTCTGAGCCTTGCACTGTTGTCTTTGTGAATGCTAATTTGCCCTTTTCTGTTGACTACTGTGCACTGAGTTCAGAGGGCAGAAGCAGCAGATCTCTTGTAAAAATTTGCTGTTCATCATGGATGCTTCTGTATTTAAACCTAGAAGCAACCCAGACAGCATTTTTCTTTTGTCTTTGGGAAGCCCATGGGACAAGGTTGAATCTTAAAGCTGGAAAAGGCGGTTTGTTTCACACTACCTGTGTTTTTCCTGGCAAAAAAAAATGACATTTTAGCTAACAGAACTCTGTCACTGTGGTCACATGAAATACTAATCCAGCAATGTTTTCCACTACATCCAGGGAATGGAAGAAATTCTGCGTGAGTTTATCAAGGAAGGAAATGCAGAGATGATCCGTCAGATCGAATTTATTATCAAGCAGCTTAATTCAGGTCAGAAGGACAGATGCAGCTCTCTGAGCTGTAAATCTTTCAAAAAAGCCATAAGAAAGCTCCTGTTTTTACTTGGCATTGAAACTCTCAAAGAATAACAATAGTGTGATGGTCTGAGAGAGGGTGAATAGTGAATGTCAAGATTTGAATGTCAGAGGTATTTTAACATTTCCTTTTGTGTTACAATTATACAGAAAAAATAAAAGACTGAGAAGGTCTCAATTCCAAAGTTTTGGGACTGTAAATAGAATGACCTATTTGCTAAATAGGAAATAGAAAACCTTTCTAAATTCTGTGATTTTTCTGTGACCTTGACTGTTTTCTTGCATGCCAGTAATAAGAGACTTGCTTTCGACTGCAAAAATAAACAAGTGATACAATTTGTCAAGTGGGATTTTGGGACTAGGTCTGTCTCTGCTCACCTCTTGCTCTATTGAGGAGTATACCTGTGTTAATCTGAAATGGCTTATTCTGAACTGGGGACAGAGACCTTCCTTTTTGGAGAGTATGTTGATGGGTCCTAGGAGTTGTAGATGCTGTGTTAATACAGGGAAATATGAAGAGGTGGGATATTTATTGTATTTTCTGTTTCCTGTGGCTGAAAAGAAGGCTGAAGAAAGAGAAAGCAAATAATGAAAAGGTGAATTCTGATTAAATCTTTCTGTACAGTAAAAATAGAACAAGTTTGACTCCTTTTGGAAAGAGCAGATGACAACATATATTATGGTCCTAGCTTGTATATGAACAAATTTAAGTATTTAAGCACTGTGCAATATTTGTTCAAAGTTACAGAATTGCTCCTTTTCTACCTGTGAATGGTATTTTTTAAAGGTTCTGTCTGATTGGTGAGTAAAAGCTGAGCATAGAGATTTCCAGTATAAATTTGGATGCTTTTTTCTAAGAAAATTTGTTTGTCCAAAACTAGTAAGTATTGTCTGTGGTAACTATCTTTTTATGTATAGTAACAGTATTGTATTGAAATGTTTGTAGGGACAAGTAGTCTTTTTTAAACAAATTAATAGAAAAAAAGACAAACTTGCAAGTGCACACAGTAAATCAAGTCCTTTTGGTAAATACACTGAGACATGATAGTGGGATTTATGAGAAAAGAGCTGTTGTGGAGTGTTTCTGTTTCTGCCATTCTCCTGAATATTAACTTATTTCAGTGATTTCTAGAATGCTTTTGAGGAGCAAATATTTCCAACATTGTGCTGAAAATAATGTGGTGTCTATATGAGAGCTAAATTTTTCTGTTGTAAAAGAGGAGCAGTAACTAGACATTCTGTTAAGCTGCACACATACCCTTAAACCTTTTTGTTTTGCTTTGTTCCAGAAGAGCCATTTAATGATAGTATCGTGTCTGACGATGAGGAGGAAGAAGATGATGGGGAAGTAAGTTTAAAGGCCTTCAGGCACCTTTTAGAAATGTCCTTAGCCTTCCAGACATAAAATATCTGTGTGAATAAGACAGACCTTGAGTTTGGGAGGAATTTTTTTTTCGTTTGTTTGGGGTTTTTTTATTTTTATGTAATTACCAGAGTGTATTAACAAGAAAATTGGATCTGTTTCCATTACCTTATCTTCATTTGAAGTCCTACTCTTTTATTTTGGCAAGTAACCACCTTTGTGATAAATAAAGGATTGTAGCTTGAAATAAGTAAAAAGATGAGCAGTTACTGTAGCAGTAGAAACTTCACTTTCAAGCAGATCCACTTCAGCAGTTCAAAATAAAGGAAGCAAATGAACCAGTGTATTGCCAGAACAGTTTACAAACGGGTTGTTACTTTTTCTTATGGTATCATTATCTGCTTGGGGTGTGACTTGTTTTGCTGTTGAGAAACTTTGATACATAGAAAAGACCTACGTTTTTGTCCTGAACCAACAAAGAACAAGACACAAAAAACTTAACCAAGTCAGTTGTGTCCTTGCTCTGCTAGAGTGTTTCACATTAACACAAGTGTGAGTGAGAAACTACAACCTTGCTTCAGTCTAAAACTTGGCTTGTTACTGCAGGGTGACGGAGTGCATTTTCAAGTGCATGTTGTGCCTTTTATGCTTTGAAAGCAGAGAACTATCTAAGTGTCCCAGTTGTAGAAGGTGTGGTATGCCCTCAGCAGCCTTGCAGGATCCAGCCTCTGCCCAGCAGTGTCCCACAAAGCTTTGCACTGGTTGTTTTATTTAGCGAGTTTCTGTGTTGTGGCACAATAGGTGGTGAGCACGTGGACTAAGTACCCTTGTGACTTTGCCTAAATGTAAGGCTATGTGGAAATCTTAAGTTTAGAGCTACAAGGAAGTTTTATTTAATCATCAACTCTCCCCCTTTTGTTCTAAGGGGGTTCAGTAAACTGTTTTGTTTTTTTTTTTTCTAATAGGATTTGATTGTTGTAATTGTTTCACCTCCTGAAGTGTGTTTTCAGCAATCCTTCCATTCTTCCTGCCCAAAATCAGAGCTTGATGTGCAAGATGGGCTTTCTGGGGATTAATTATTATGACCTCCCTTTCTTTAATATGCCATGTAACACCCATTAGCTGATGTTCCAAAGCTTTGAGTGTCGTAGATGTATCTTCTGAATCCAAGGTGGTGATATTTTTGCTTGAACTCCAGTATGCTTTTGTGAAGGATGGTGTGTTCTGTTGGGAAAGCACAGAGATAAGGAGCTCCTTCCTGAAAGGTTTGGCATTGAATTGCATTACAGTGTTGAACACTTGAATTACTTTACCTACTCTTGGGAATGGAAGGAAAGTGAGTTCTCCTGTTCAGTCATAACACCTAGACAAGTTGCTGCTTCTTACAATCCCAGCCAAGGCTCTAGGTCAAAGAAGTTTTAAATGCATTTTTACCACTGAACCATCATGTGATTGAAACAGATTTCTGTCACTTATTATTTGTCTCAAAAATTACAGTAGGCTTTTGAAATGGAGAAATGTCTGATTCTAGTTTTTTCTCTAGGTTTGTCATTATATTAAAAATACGAAGTCTCATTAAGACGATTTTAAAAATGTTTCTAGTGTAACATTGTGGCACATCCTAAATCCTTATTTCTCCTGGAACTATTAACTTTATTCTGCTGCAAGGAGGCCTGGTGTCCTAGTTCCTCAGTTTAGAAAATATAGAATACAAACAGTATGGCATCAAAACGCTGCACAAAATGTCTAATTTTGTTACTTTTCCAATAAGCAAAGATTTGTTGACTTGCTGCTTCATTGCTTGGAGGCTTTTTGTATTTTGGAAATGTGGTGAATTATTGTTCTTTGATGGGGTCTGTGATAACATCTGATGTTGTGATCTGGCAACTGAAAGTTTTGGAAAACTTGATCAGAAGCTTTGCCTTTATGTAACTTTTAAAAAATTACTACAGACTAAACATATTTCAGAATATGTCTGAAATTGACAATACAATTACATGCATTCAAACTGCTTACTGATACTATAATTTGTTGCTGATTTACTTAATAACAATATTTATACCTTTACAACTTAAGAAACTACAAGGAAACTCTTTTATGCCAACTTAGTTTGCAGGTTTTTGCCCCAGTTTTTATAGTTTCCAAGAGCATGCAAAAGTTCCCTGTGCTATTACTGTTACCTTCCATGGTTGTTTGGTTTTCACTGGGGGGCTTAGGGAAGGGGGTTGGTTTTGTTTGGGTTTGTGGGTTTTTTTCTTTTTCTTTTGTCTGTGTTTAATTTAGGATTGTTGAACTATTTCTTGGCTTTGAGCAGATCTTGTTGTAATGACTGCTTTGTCCTAACCACTGCCACCAAGATGTGGATGAGCCTGCTGGAGGACAATTTGTGATTTCTAAGGGCATCATACAGTCAGAAATTTATCATTCTGTACTGTGTGACACTGGAACATATTAACAGAATGAAGAATGTCTATGTATATACTGTTATTCAGAAATAAGTTTGATTTTGGGTATGTTTGCTGAGCTTTACATTAACTGGTGTAGAGCTCAACATGCATTGGCCTCTGGAGTACACACCCACCTTCATTCTGTGAGAGCCATCTGGGGTGTGTTGTCACCCACAGTCACAGTGCATATTTTCTGGTCCTTAATATTCTTTTGACTGTTCTGTTAAATAGTAAGTTCATTCATCTTCAGTATTTGATGTTTACATTTGCTTTTTATTTGACATGGATCATCTTTAAAAGGTGCTTGTAAAAGAGAATATGTGGTATCATAGCTCTAATTCAAAAGTTTAGTTACAGACTTGAGCTATATTAGATAACTGTACGGTGACAATTTAGCAGACACCCTCTGATCCCCCATCACTCAGCACCTGGCAATAAAATCAGTAAACTGCAGTGTGAAAATACACTTCAGCTAGAGAACATATCAAAAGAGAGAAGCTTAATCACAGACCTAATTGTGGGACTTCCAGCCATTACATTAAAAGGCTTTGCTGCCAACGCCTGCTGCAGCCTGTGGGCAGTGGAGAACAGGGCACCACTTGTGTTATTTCAGCAGTGGAATGATGGCATGTCTGTCAAAGCTCTTTTTCTGTAGAAGGAGACAGAGGAGGCACATGTTCAGGCTCAGTTACCTGGTATTTTGAATACTGTCAGGGAGCGAGGCTTGCAGGCAGAAGGACTTCCCAGAAACCAGAAACTGGAGTTCTCTGATAAAAGGATGTCGAACAGAATACTGGAAGAGGTGGAACTTGGGGAAACCAAGTTAAGTACATTATGCTGCACAGATGCTGGATGGAAGAGCAGGCTGATGTTCTGACTGTAATGTGTAACACTACCCAGGCACACTGGAGGCAGTCTGCTCTAAAGCTTCCTTGAAGAAAACTGCTCTTGATGCTGCATTAACATGTCACAGAAAAACAATTTCCACTTTTGATAAAGCTCACCTTTCAATTATTTTTTTTTCAAGTACAGTATATTGTGCCATTTGGAGTATGGCTTTTTTTTGTTTTGCCTGGTACAGATGATTGTTGCCTAGTCTTCAAGTGTGTGTGTTTTTTGATTATCCGGATTATTTTTCACATTTACCCAGCATCCCAGATAATTAGGAGCTGATTGTAACTTATCTTGCCTTGAAGAGAAAGGCAGATGGAATATCTTCCTGAAGTCCTCTGCAGCTTTATAATTTCTGTCTGAGCATCTAAAAGAAGGTAAAAAGGATTAATAATCTGGGAACTTTAAAGCACTTACAGAAGAACCAGGGTTTTTTCATTAAATCCATGCATGAATAAATACATTATGGAAAAATTTTATTCTAGACCTTCCAACACCGTGTGGATTATTGGCAGGATTTCTGTAGCTGCTTCAGTTGTTTGCACACAGGTATCTAATGTCTCTTAAGATCAGCACAGCATCAGAAGCACTTGCACAAGCCTGTGGGATATGACTTGGGACCTCTGGGAGGTTTGTGCACTTTCAGAGCTGCTGTGAAAGACCAGGCAGGATATTTCAGTGTAGAACTGGGTGGTGCTGTGGGCTACTGAATTGAGCCCTTTGTGTCTGACCTTTTTATCTCAGCTTGACACCTGCCAATGGGGAGGTGATGACCAAGGAGAATAACTACATCAAAACAAATATTATGGGTTTTAAGCCATTTGGTAGAGAGGTCATTGAACTTGAAAAAAAGGCAAGCCTGTCGAGCTCTGGGGAAGCCAACACCTACTTGTTCTGAGTGATGGTAGTTTCATTTTTCTGCACCAGACAAAGTCTGGAATCAACCAGCCATTTCCATTGTAGGAAATACCTTCCCTGTACACACTTCCAATGTTTTTTAGCTCATGCTGTTTTTGTAGAGCACTGTCCAAGCATCCATATTATTGGCTAATCTTTGCAGCAGAGGTTATTTCTTACTTTGGCTAGTGAAAACTAGTTGAGTTGAAGTCTCTAAAGGGAAACTGTTTTTTGTTTTCTTTGTGCTCCAGGGCTCATCAAAGTTTGGCAGTCATTATTTTTAATGGAGTTCATGCCAGACTGTCTCTGTTACTGTTGCAATATACCTTTTTAGAAGGATTAGTTTACTTTTTCTGACAGTCATTTACATTTACTGTCACAACCTGTTTGAAAAGCAAAGCACATTTTCTTCCTCTGTGGTGGGTCTTATTTAGGGTATCTTGTGCAGCACAGAAGAGAATTATTTTCAGTAGTAAAACACAAGCAAAAATACAGTCTTGTTCTTGCATTGCTAGAGAAGTTCCTCAGACTTTAAAATGTCCTGGCTTGTAGATCTGTAGAAGCTGCAGAACTCCCATGAAAGATATATCACCCATATTTACACCAGAAGTAGGCACAGGAGAGTGGATTCTTGGTACTTTTCACTAGAAAAGCTGATTAAATTTGGGTTTTGTGGAATGAAGTCAACAGAGATTGGTTTCTTTCTTGCATGATATTTGTACCCCAAAGCAGTGATTCCAAGAATTCTGTCCTAGCCCCATATTGTCTGTTTTAAAGCTTCCTTGCACACCTGAGCAGCTGCTGTTGGACTCCCATGGTCTCACCTTTCAGGAACCATAGCTTGAGGAGGGGTTTTGAATGCCCAGCAATAAGGATTTTTTTGTATTCAGTGATTAAAAATTATCCCTCTTTTCCTTGAAAATGAGTGATAACATGATTTGGGATTCTTCTTCCTTCCTGGAGAATAAACAGCAATAAATTACTTCAGATTTTTTGTCGAGGTAGGGAAACATACCCCAAAGTCCTGAATATGCATACAGGTATTTAAAGTCTCTTGGAATGCTAGCATTATGTTCAGGAAAGACTATGAATTGATTTAAGGTGTGCTTACTTTATTTTTACTACTAGTTGTTATAATCCAACTTACATTTATGCTTAGATTATACTGATTCCTTAAAAGATCAAGCAAGTTTTCTGTCAAGTTTCCTTCCATTCTCCTTGCTTGAATGAGAAATTTTTTGTGCCTTTTTTTTTTTCCCTTCTAGAATTTACTTACCTTAAGTTTGAGGTTTGTTTTTTTGGGATTTGTTTGTTGGTTTGGTTTCTCAGGGGGGGGGTTGTTTGTTATTGTTTTCTTTTTTATCAAGAGTAACTATTTCTCAGCATCCAGTGTGGCCAAGAATTGCCATCAGGTTGCTTTTTTTCAGACAATGCTGTATGACTAGACTGACTTGGGCTGATAATGCAAAAATTAAAGCTCCAAACTTCATCAACAGCTGCTTGTTCAGCATTGCATGCTGAAGAGCTCTGCACCTCCTCTCCCTAGCATGCAGTGTTCAACGCAGATACTAATGGCTGAGATTTTTCCTAAGTCTTTAGTAAGTGAAGCAAGGAATAATTATTTGGAGTTGGAAATTTGAAAAACAACTTTTGAAAGGCCTACTGTACTTTTTGGCAAAGTGTTTGTGGAAGAAGGGGCGGGGGTTTTTCTTCTCTCAGGATTCTTTTGATTCTGTTTATATAAATAGTCTACATGTGTTTGTCTTTAGGTGTCTAATTTTTGATAGAAAAATGTTTGTAGATCACCACTTACATGTGCAGTACTAACAGCCATTTACCTGGAAAGTATATATCATCCAAGTGACTGTTGAAGTGAGAACTAAATTTGAAATGAAAACATCTTGGAGCCTGGGCTCAAATAGCTTGTGTGTTGCTGTTGCAGGAGAACCATGACGTCATGGAGGCTGATCTGGACACCGAGGAAGTTTTGCAGCCTCAACTGGGAGAGCTTGCAGGAGAGAAGCTGCTAACAACTGAGTACTTGGGAGTGAGTACCACTCATGAGCACTTGAAATCAGTTCATTTGCTGGATTAAGTGTTAAATTTCAGCAGTTTAATAACTTTCTAAAATATTTTCTTCTTCAAATTATTGCTTAAACAGTTAGGTTCTACTGGCATAGCAGTCCAGATCTTTCACAGTCTGTTTTATTAGCTGCTGCTCAGAAGAAGTGAAATAAATTTGAGCTAGCCTTTCACAGGAGGTGGACAGGCTGTGGCTTAATAGTAAGCTAAAGGCAGCCTCAGGGTTCTAGTGCTACATCAGTGACTCTGTGGGCACACAAAGCAAAGTGCTGGGCAAATTAATACTGGAAGACTGCTGGTCTAAAATTAGTTAGGAAAAAAAAAAGAAAAAAGTTGAAAAGTTAACTGTTTCTACAGGCATTATGCCAGATCAAGTATTGTGTGTCTTACCTCAAGCAGCAAAAAAGCCATTAAGTAGTAGGTGTAAAGTTGGCATGAACACCATTTGGTGTGCTGGGACTTATTTGAGATAAATGTCACTGGATACCTTCTCAATCCCAGAGTGCATAAGTCTGCCAGTGCTGATGATGGAAATGTGAGCTGAGATAAGATGTCATGGAACAGCCTACAGGTGATTCCAAGGAATTTTATCTAGAGACACCAGAATGCAACTTAGTTTCTGATGCAGCATTTCTACAGAATTTTCTTTATGTCTGCAGTTATCTGTCTTGCCACTGCATTCTCTTTTTTAAAAAATAATTTATTTTTCCTGTATGTCAGATAATGACTCATGCTCCAAAACCCAAGAAGAAATCCTTTCCTGTTGTGCATCAGAGTGTAGATGAGCCACTCCAGAGACCTGTGACACCAGGTCATCACAGAACCGTGTCTTTAACGTAAGTCCAAACAAATGAGACCATGTTGGGTTTTTTTTAACTCCTTTAAAAAAAAACCAATGCCTGATAAATAAACCTAGCCTACCTAAAAGTACATTGCCATTCCATAAAGATAATTTCAAAAAAAGAAAGGAGAGGAATAGTGTAGGCAGAGAATGGTCTGTTGGCTAAGGTCACATACTTGGAATAGATGAGTAAATGTTTAGTGATCAGTTTGATTAAGATTTGCATTATATCCTGTGTGTTTATAGTCCTTTCACCTTCACACAATATATTCTATTGGGAAGTTGCATGCGGTGTCTAAAATGCCTGGGATCTTCCTCCTTACAAGCAAGAAGGTATATTGCTCTCAGGACACTAGGCACACACCTGTAAGAGGAAAGAATAAAAAGAAAAGAGGAAAGACAAAAAACTTGGAATGTTGGATTTCCTGCTTTGCAAGAAATACTTTTTCCAGCAGGAGGGTCAGTGACTCTTTGCTCTTGGTGTTTGTGGGCTGCATTGTAAATGGAATAAAGAAACTTTACAGTATGGAATATGCTCTGCCTTCTGTTAAAACAACTATGTCTTAATCATTTAATTTCTGGAATAAGACTTCTTCATTTCACTCTCCTGCCTGAGGAAGCAAAATACAGATGTTATCTCAAATTTAAATGACTTTTTACTTTCAGTTGCATAAAGTTTTGGATTTGATCAAATCCAAGTAGCTACAATACAGGCAGCAGTTTATCATGAGAGGTTTTCATTTCTTCTGTTCCTTAAGCTGAGAGTATAGATACTAAATATCTATACTCCAACAATGTATAGGTAATAGAAACTAAAAGTCACAGTATTGGTATAGGTAAGTAGGTTGAAATGAAAGGGTAACCTGAAATATAACAGTGTAATGAAGTTAGGGGGTAGAGGTGGTTCTTAGAAGCACATACCAGCCCTGAAGTCTGAAAACTGTCCTGTCTTATCCCCTCAGCCACTCTTTGCTTTCATGTTTGTGTTTTCTATTCCTTACAATACATTTCTTCCCTCTTTTAGTGTGGAAGATCCATATGGAAAACAGTGAGGACTGATTTAGGCTGTAGTTACACAGGTGCAGTTGAATCTGATCAAAGTCTGCTGTTGTGGTCAGGGAGTAGGAGCTTTATCTTACCTGTGTTGTGCAGTCTTGTGCTGGCAAGTGTTTATACAAGCAGGTGATCTGACTGGGAGCCCTCCTGAGCCATCCAAATGTGTCTTTTTGGCAGCTGTAGTACTAATGTGGGATTATATTGATTATGTTACCAGGGCCTTAAAATGGACAACTGTAACATACCAGATCTAGGCATGGAAGAAGCCCTGGATGGCACTTTTTTTCTTTCTCTCTCTTTTTTCTTTTCTTTTTGGGTTTTGGGTTGAGCAGAGCAGTTAAACTACATTCAAAAATTATATAAATGCTTGCATTCAGAATTGAAATGAATTTTACTTGTTTGAAGTTCTTCATGTGAGACTCAATGTAACGTTCTATTTTTAAAACACTGTGAAAGAGGAAGCAGTTGATGGAGATTCTATAACGTATCTATTTATGAGTGGTTGGTTCATACCTCCAAAAGGGGAGGGGGTAGGGATGGACTTCTAGTGCTGAATGGAAGTATTCACTCAGAACATTAATGCAGAATGGCCACTGCACATCTAGCAGCTATTCCATGCTAATTTTTCTATGAATTCCCTGTGCAGACAAGGCTGTAGTTACTTCAGATTAATTGTTGTGGGATCCTGAATTGGACAAGCTCTTGCTGTGTGGAGCTGAGGAAGCCAGGACATACTGGAAAGCTGGGGGGAGGTTCACCTTTTTTTCCTTTCTCCCCTCCTCTTTAAAGACTCCCTAGCTGTGATCACTCAGGATCAAATGAACTACTTTATGTTCTGCTGTTTCCTTAGAAACTGATTTAGCTGTGAAATCATTAACTTCCTTCTTGTGCTGCATCTTTCGTAACCAGAAATACAGTTTAGTTACCTTAATCCAATACTGGGCAGGGAAACTCTGTGTCTGCCAACTTCCTTTCATGCACTTTTCACACCCCTGTTGCTGTGCTTTATTGCTTATTAATAAGCAGACTTGTCTCTGTCCTTTGGCTACTTCAGTTTCTCCATCCAACCTCACTTGGGTAATCAACAGATCTACTTTCAGTCTGTATTGCACATAGGTGTGTAAAGTTAAATCCTTGTAATATTCAGAAGCAAATCTTAAATCCTTGAAAAAGTATTGAAGAGCTCTCAGACCCACTGCTACAATCTTTTTCTTTAAGGGTCCTGCTGGCATCTTCAGGCTGCAAGGTGTTATGGTTTCCTTTCCTTGGCTCTTATATCACAGCAGGAAAAGATGTTAATTTCAAACACATCTAACATTAGCTGGTTTGTGGGAGTCAAAGTAATGCAGTTAAATTATGTTCTTAGCACTATTTTTCAATATGAAATCTAAAATAGTTTCAGTATTTCTATGTCATTATAGGCAATTAGAAAAAAACAAACAACCATTTTCTCTTATGCAACATTTTATACCACAAGCATTCATCACCCTGCATTCTCCTTTCTCCTCCAGGCAAGAAAATGATACTAGTTATTGTCCTGGTAAGGATGAGAAGCTGCAGTCTCTACCAAGAGGTCCTCTGACTGCTTGTGGTGGGAGCAGGTCCAGCACATCTGACACCTGCATTTTGTCTTCATGTAAGGTTATGCTGCAAACGCTGTTGTTAACTGTTGGTGTCCTTCCTGACTGGGGCAGGCTTTGGGGCATAGATTGTTGTAGATTGTTTTTTTACAATGTAGCCATGGAACTGACCCTCAGTTTGTAGATCCTGGGGTACTGTGCAAGACCTTGGGGCACACAGTAAGATCTATCTGAATGGATGGCTACCGAGGTAAGGTGTGATCAGCAGCCACCAAAGGTCTCACTGGCCTTGCTCCATCTTGCTTCCTGTGGAAGTGCCAAGGATCATACACAGGCCTTCCAATGTGCACAGTGTGCTGTATTTCACTCCACGATGTCTTCTGCCTAGGGA